TCCAGAGCCTGTGCTCCGCAACGGGAGAGGCCACAACAGTGAGAGGCCCGCATACCGCAAAAAAAAAAAAAAAAAAAAAAAAAAGAAATAAGAAAAATTTCAAACAACTATCTTAACCTACCACCTAAAAGAATTAGAAAAAAAACAAAGCCCCAAGTCAGCAGAAGGAAGGAAGGAAGGAAATAATAAAGATCAGAGTGGAAATAAATAAAATACAGATAAAAAAACAGAAAAGATCAATGAAACCAAGAACTGGTTTTTTGAAAAGATTAACAAAATTGATAAACCTTTAGCCAGGCTTACCAAGAAGAAAATGCCAGCTTTTACCCAAATAAACAAAATAAGAAATGAAAGTGGAGAAATAACAAACCGATACCACAGAGATACAAAAAAATCATAAGAGAATACTATGAACAGTTATATGCCAAAAAATTGGACAAGAAAAAGAAATGGACAAATTTCTAGAAACATACAGCCTGCCAAGACTGAACCAAGAAGAAACAGTCAATTTGAACATACTGATCACTAGAAGTGAAATTGGATTTGTAAAAAAAAAAAAAAAAAAAAAAAAAAAACCCAGCCAACAAAAGTCCAGAATGGGATGGCTTCACAGGGGAATTCTACCAAACATATAAGGAATTAATACCTATCCTTCTCAAAGTATTCCAAAGAATTGAAGAGGATGGAACACTCCCAAATTCATTCTATGAGGCCACCATTACCCTGATACCAAAACCAGACAAAGACAGTACAAAGCAAATTACAGGCTAATATTTTTGGTAAATATAGATGCAAAAATCCTCAATAAAATATTTGCAAACTGAATCTAAAAATGTGTAAAAAGGATCATACACTATGATCAAGTTGGATTTACTCCAGGGTCACAAGGTTCAATATATGCAAATCAATCAATGTGATACACAACATTAACAAAAGGTAGGATAAAAATTACATGGTCATCTCAATAGTTGCAGAAAAAGTGTTTGACAAAATTCAACATCCATTCATGATAAAAACTCATCAAAGCGGGAATAGAGGGAACATATCTCAACGTGATAAAGGCCATTTGACAAACCCATAGCCAACATCACACTCAATGATGAAAAGCTGAAAGCTTCCCCATTAAATTCAGGAACAAGACAAGGGTGGCCACTCCCACCACTTCTATTTAACAAAGTATTGGAAGTCCTAGCCACAGTGATCAGACAAGAAAAAGAAATAAGACACATCCAAATTGGAAGGGAAGGTGTAAAACTCACTGTTTGCAGATGACATATTTTATATAGAAAATCCTAACGTCTCCACCCAAAGAACTATTAGAACTAATAAATGAATTCAACAAGGTTGCAGGATACAAGGTTAACATACAGAAATCTGTGCATGTTAATTAGTTTCTATACACTAATAATGAAATAGCAGAAAGAGAAAGTAAAAAACCCAAATCAATTCCATTTAAAATCACAGCCATAAACTTAACCAAGGAGGTAAAAGACAGTACTCTGAAAATTATGAAACATTGATGTAGGAAATTGAAGATGACACAAATGGAAAGTTATCCCGTGTTCTTGGATTGGAAGAATTAACATTGTTAAAATGGCCAAACTACCCAAAGCAACCTACAGATTTAATGCAGTCCCTATCAAAATACCCCTAACATCTTTCACAGAGCTAGAACAAATAATCCTAATATTCATATGGAGCCAGAAAAGACCCTGAATTGCCAAAGCAATCTTGAGAAAAATGAACAAAGCTGGAGGTGTAAGCCTCCCAGACTTCAGACTATACTACAAAGCTACAGAAATCAAAACAGCATGATACTGGCACAAAAACAGAGCAGTGGGACAGAATAGAGAGCCCAGAAATAAACCCATGCACCTTTGGTCAATTAATCAGTGACAAACAAGGCAAGAATATACAGTGGATAAAAGACACTCTCTTCAACAAGTAGTGCTAGAAACACTGGACAGCTACACATAAAACAATGAGATTAGACTATTCCCTCAGACCATATACACAGATAAACTCAAAGTGGTTAAAAGACCTAAATGTAAGACACGACACAGTAAAACTCCTAGAAGAGAACATAGGCAGAACACTCTTTGACATACATCATAGCAATATTTTTTTGTATCAGTCTCCTAAGGCAAAAGAAATAAAAGCAAAAATAAACAAATGGACCTAACTAAAGTTAAAAGCTTTTGCACAACAAAGGAAACCATTGACAAAACGAAAAGACAACCTACAAAATGGGAGAAAATATTTACAAGTCATGTGACTGACAGAGGGTTAATATCCAAAATATGTAAACAGCTGATAACAACTCAATATTGAAAAACAAACAACACAATCAGAAAATAGGCAGAAGACCTGAATAGACATATTTCCAAAGAAGACATACAGATGAATGACAGGCACATGAAAAGGTGCCTAACATCACTAATTATTAGAGAAATGCAAATCAAAACAAAAATGAGATATCGTCTCATACCAGTCAGAATGGCCATCATCAAAAAGTCTACAAATTACAAATGTTGGAGAAGATGTGGAGAAAAGAGAAACCTCATACACCGTTGGTGGGAATGTAAATTGGTGCAGCCACTGTGGAAAACAGTATGGAGGTTCCTTAAAAAACTAAAAATAGAACTACTGTATGATCCAGCAATTCCACTCCTTGTTATATAGCCAGAAAAAAATGAAAGCACTAATTTGAAAAGATAAGTGCACCCCAATGTTCATAGCAGGACTATTTACAGTAGCCAAGATATGGAAGCAACCCAAGGGCCTGTTGACAGATGAATGAATTAAGAAGGTGGGATATATATATATTCCATCGTCTTAATCCATATAAATACACACACAATTTAATATTCAAACATAAAAAAGAATGAAATTCTGCCATTTGCAGCAATGTGCATGGATCTAGATAATATTATACTTAGTGAAATAAGTCAGACAGAGAAAGACAAATACTGTATAATGTTACTTCTATGTGGAATCTAAACAATGATAGAAATGAATGTATATGCAGAACAGAAACAGACTCACAGATATAGAAAACAAACTTGTGGTTACCAAAGGGGAGAGGGAAACAGGGATGGACAAATTATGGGTATGAGATTAACAGATACAAACCACTATGTATAAAATAGATAAGCAACAAGGATATATTGTATAGCACAGGGAATTATAGCCATTATCCTGTAATAATTTATAATGGAGTATGATCTGCAAAAATACTGAATCACTATGCTGTACACCTAAAACTAACATAATATTGTAAATCAACTATACTTCAATTGAAAGAAAGAAATAAAGGAAGGGAAAAAAGAAAGAAAGGTAACGGGATCATGTAGGACCTTGTTGGACCTTGTATGCATTTTGGGCTGTTGAGCTTGAGAGCCATTTGAAGTTTTGGGGCGAAGAAGTGGCAAAATCTAACTAAGTATTACAGGATCATAGGCTGCTCTGTTGAGAAAAGACAGAGACGTAGTAAGAGATTAAACAGGAATAATTTATCTTCCTTTTGAGTTTGTTTCTTTGTTTAAAGTAAGGCATATCTGTGATGTTGGGTCCAACCTCAGTTATTTTATAAAATATTACTCCTGGGCTATCTATGTATTCTTTAGGTAATGTTGATAGAAATGAATTCTTTATTTTCGCTAATTAACTTAGAATTCCTTTTAAACAGAAATGTAATTGTCTTTACAGGTTCATCGGCACTTGCTTTGCTTTGTTCTGGTATATTTTCTCCTTAGCACATGTGGCAATCTTTGTCACAAGATTTAGCTACGGAGAAGAATTACAGTCCTTCGTCGGAGCTGTTATTGTTGGGACATACAATGTTGTGGTTGTGATTGTGCTTACTAAGCTGCTGGTGGCAATGCTTCATAAAAGTTTTCAGTTGATAGCAGTAAGTGTTCATTCTTTTAAAAATTTTATATTCTCTTCAGACCATACCAAATGTATGTAGTAGATAAGGCAAAGATTTAAAAGAATTAAGAATGTGTCATTTAAAAATTAAATATAGATTTTTAAAAAATGTAAGTAATGTATATTAACTGCAAGTCTTGAACCAAATTTTTATCTACAAGGTGTGGAAACATTTGAACAATCTTAAACAATCTCTTCATACCAGCCCTACTGTGTGTGTGTGCGTGTGTGCATGCCTATTCATATCCTGTGTTGGTTTTTCACTTGCCTCTTATAGAATCATGAAGACAAAGAATGGAAGTTTGCTCGAGCAAAGTTGTGGCTTAGCTACTTTGATGACAAATGTACATTACCCCCACCTTTCAACATCATTCCTTCGCCAAAGACTATCTGCTATATGATTAGTAGCCTCAGTAAATGGATTTGCTCTCATACATCAAAAGGCAAGGTTAAACGGCAGAACAGCTTAAAGGTAAGAAGTTAGATGGTTGAACTGCAACATGATAATTTTAATAATTACTAATCTCAGATGTTCCTAAAGCATAAATAGGCAGGTGCCTAAGGGCTAAGACTTGTATTGTTTTGTACAGGGCATTCTCTGTACTAATTTTTTTGTGGTTATAAAGCAATTAGCAAAGCAGCTTAAAAAAAACAAGGACTAAGACTTCTTTTTTTCACTCCTGTATCCCTAATGCATAGCATAGTATCTAACATAAAGTAAGGATTCAATAAATATTTATTGAAAATGAGAGAGAGAGAGCTGTGACTTTTTTCATGAATTCTCATCTCACAGTTTTAAAACAAGGAAAATATTCAGAATACCTAGGCTGTCAGCATAAGGGTGACTCTTGGAGTCAATGCATACTTTTCTGGTTCTTCTTGAAAGTTGTTCAATACATGAATAATTCAATACATGTTGCTATAAGCCAGGAATTGGCAAACTTTTTCTGTAAATGACCAGATAATAAATATTTTAGATTTTGTGGGCTGTGAAAAAATTGTAGATTTTATGTGGGTAGTAATATAACAAGAGAGAAAACAAATTTCCACAAAATTTTTATTGACGAAATTAAACATATGAGAATAATTGAGTAATACTTTTTTATAATACAGCTCTATTAATGAATAGAATTCCATTTTGAGGGGGAATAACATTTTGTTTATTTGGAGTTCAAAATTAGTAGTCCCCATCATCAAATTGATTACAAAACATTCATCTGTAAAAGCCATTCTTAGCTCATAGGCCATCAGAAACACAAAGTGGGTCATATTTGGCCTGTGAGTCGTAGTTTGCTAATTCCTACTATAAACTAAAGATCTTAAATCAAGGTAAGTGTACAGGTAAATGAATAAAACAAATATGCATGGCATGTTTCAAATGTGTTGAACATTATTTTGTAACATGTAGTGGCCAAAATATAGTCTAATAAAGCATTACGAGATATGTGTTTGTATCTGTAAATTTTTTTAAAAATCCACCTCATTTAAATATTTTTATGCACATTGTCAGTATCATAGTTTTTGTTTTGAAGGAATGGAGAAATTTGAAGCAAAAGAGAGATGAAAACTACCAAAAAGTGATGTGCTGTTTAGTGCATCGTTACTTGACTTCCATGAGACAAAAGATGCAAAGTACAGATCAGGCAACTGTGGAAAATCTAAATGAACTGCGCCAAGATCTGTCAAAATTCCGAAATGAAATAAGGGATTTACTTGGCTTTCGGACTTCTAAATATGCTATGTTTTATCCAAGAAATTAGTAATTTTCTAAATCATGTAGAGAATAATTTTCAATAATAAATCTGAAAGACTGCATTTGTATAACTTGCAATTAAATTAGTAAGATATATATTGAAATAAAGAATTATGTAAAAGCCATTCTTTAAAATATTTATAGCATAAATATATGTTATGTAAAATATGTATATACGATTAGTTTTTTTTAAACCCTCTGTTCGTGGCTTTTTGCAGTAATGAAACAGATTAAGTAGATAGATTTTGTTAGCATGCTGCTTAGTTTTCTTATTTAAACGGTGCTTAAATTTTTTTTCTCTTTCTGCTTAAGAAGGGCAGCATTAGAATTGTAGTGACTATTGTCAGAAGGTTTTGTAAAAATGAAGATCAGCAAATGTGGACTGATCTCCTTCCATAGGGTACACTTGAGATATAGAAGTCTTGTTTTTTAAAATCTTTGTTTTAGGAGTTTACATATATAGTTCAGTATTTATTGTTTAGGAGTACAGGTTTACCTAAAACAGTAGTCTGTTTTTTCTTTTTTCTTTTGTTATAATCTTAAGCAACAAAGATCAAGCCCTAATGAATGTTTGAATCTATTTGTGTCTATAAATTTAAATTCACCTCAATGTTTGTTACTGTAATATATTTACTTTTACATGGTTGTAATCACTTTATATTTTTCATTTTGCTTTTTTCACTTAATAGAATTTTATATATACATTTCCATGTATTGATAGAGTCCACGTATTTAAATTTTTATAGAATTATATAGTTTTTGAAAAACATAGTACACTTTTCATTTTGTAGCTATAGAGTATTTGATTATGTTTATAAGTTTGCACAGCTACTTCTCTAAGATTAGGTATTTATTGGCTTTTAATTTTTTATTATCATAAAAGTGATATAATTTTTTTTCAAGCTGGAGTGAATGTTCCTAGTTATAAAGCTAACCCAAAATAAGGATTTAGAAGGTATTTCTTTGTCATGTATGGTCACAGCCTGTTTTGTTTGTGTAGACATTGGAAGACCCTTTAATGCAAGGATTTGTTTTACTTTTGGACTAAGGTTCTTGATCTTATATCCGAAAGTATTTTCCACACGATTTAACATAGTTCTAGAAACGGGACTTCATGCCTATTTGTGGCTCATTCTTGATTCTTAGGGTGAAAAGCATTGACTTTTTAAATTGGAGAATAAAGTATATATTTAAATTTTTTTCCTGTGCTCATGTAAGGGATATAGTTAACATTTTTTCATAGGCTATTCCTTATTTATTCTTGCAGCATTTCCAGTTAAGAGGTTATTATGTATAAAATTATCTTCTTAACTGAGTGTCAGATGGTCTTAAGGCCACAGGGTGCAGGTAGCCCTTGGTCTATAAGTACCACGGATCCAGGGATCATTGTTGAAATATGTTAGTGTCGTGTTTCATCTTGCTTTTTACTTTTTATTTTTTAATTTCCAAATTGTAAGTGTTCCCTTTTTTGGGCAAATTCTTATAAAATTGTTTATTGTAAAGTTATATATTTTGTCTATATGATGGGATTATGCACTTCCCAATTGGGATTTTACATCAGGGTTTTTAGTCATTCTAAAAAAATATCTAATTATTAAATCAAAATATTTATAGAGTGCCTACTGTATGCATGAGTTACGAGGTATATTTTGAATGACAGCATATTGTAAGAAAAAAGGTAAATAAAACTTGACATTAGATTATAAATTGACAGAGTTTGTTCATTCTATTATTGTATACTTTTATACTTTTTATTGAGATATAATTCACATATCATAAAATTCACTCTTTTAAAGTATACAGTTCACTGTTGTTGTTTTTTTAAACTATGGCAACAAAGGTCTAAAATGCAAAACATCAATATCAGACCCCTTTGTACCTCTTCCTGCCTCTGGTGGCAATGATATTTGACTCTTTTAGCTATTTCTTTTTATATTTGTAAATACCATATTTTGAAATAATATGACTATACAAAGACCTGTATGTGAGTGTTTATAGCAGCTTTGTTCATGATCCCAAATTGAAAACAACCAAATGCCCGTGAACTGGTGAATGGGTAAGTAAATCGTACATCCATACAATGGAAATCTACTCAGTGATAAGGAATCGTATCAGTCAGGGTTCAGTCAGAGAAGCAGAACTAGTAGGATATTGGCAGGCACATATGTTTGTGTGTACAGTGATTTGTTTACAGGGAATGACATTACACAATTGTTGGAGTTGGTTAAGCAGTCTCTGAGGCTGTTGTTTTTGTATCTAATACTGGAGCTTGTAGTTCACCAGGTTGGCTGTTGGAAGAGGAAAATAGGTGTCGGGGGAAGAAATGCAGATAAGCTGGAACCCATGAGGACAGTCTGAGAACCTTGTCACTTGTCACTGTCTCCAACCTTGATGGTGTGGGAATCCTGTGGGAGAAGTTACCCTTTGCCACGTTGCTAAACACGTTTGGTCCAGAATTAGAGAAACTGAAGGACAAGCCAAGGAAAGGTGGAATGACTAGAGTCCTGGCTGCTGCCCTTCACCAGCAGGTTGAGCCAGCAGATAAGTTTCAACATGTGTAAACTATGAAAGTGCCTGCAAAAAAAACCCAAATGGCTGCTGCTCCATTTCTGCCCTCCAAATTTCACCCTGAAATGTGTCTTGTGCCCACCCTACCTAGAAGCATACATGGGAGAGAATTCTGGGAAACATAATTGAGCCTATCCAAGTTGACACAGGAACAAACTAGTGAAGTATATGCAGTAGCACAGATGAATCTTAAAAGTACTATGCCAAGTTAGGACACTCATCACAAAAGGCTACACACTGTGATTCCATTAATATGACATCCTAGAAAAGACAAAACTATAGAAACCAGAATCAGGTCATTGGTTACCAGGATCTGGTGGGAAGAGAAGACTGATTGCACAACTCATCAAACTATACATTTAACAGGGTGAATTTTAATGTATGGAAATTATGCTTCAGTAAACCTGACAAAACTACGTAATGCTACAACATACTAAAATAAAGAACTAACAAGAACGCTAGAGTAGCAATTCTCATATCACAAAAATAGACTTTAAAATAACGACTATTACAAGAGACAAAGCAGGACACTTCATAATGATCAAGGGATCAATCCAAGAAGAAGATATAACAATTGTAAATATTTATGCACCCAACATAGGAGCACCTCAATACTTAAGGCAAATGCTAACAGCCATAAAAGGGGAATTCGACAGTAACGCAATCATAGTAGGGGACTTTAACATCCCACTTTCACCAATGGACAGATCATCCAAAATGAAAATAAATAAGGAAACACAAGCTTTAAATGACACATTAAACAAGATGGACTTAATTGATATTTATAGGACATTCCATCCAAAAATAACAGAATACACTTTCTTCTCAAGTGTTCACGGAACATTCTCCAGAATAGATCATATCTTGGGTTACAAATCAAGCCTTGGTAAATTTAAGAAAATTGAAATCGTATCAAGTATCTTTTCTGACCACAATGCTATGAGACTAGATTTCAATTACAGGAAAAAAAAAACTGTAAGAAAGACAAACACATGGAGGCTAAACAATACGCTACTAACTAACCAAGAGATCACTGAAGAAATCAAAGAGGAAATTAAAAAAATACCTAGAAACAAATGACAATGAAAACACAATGACCCCAAACCTATGGGATGCAGCAAAAGCAGTTCTAAGAGGGAAGTTTATAGCAATACAATCCTACCCCAGGAAACATCTCAAATAAACAACCTAGTCTTACACCTAAAGTAATTAGAGAAAGAAGAACAAAAAACCCCCAAAGTTAGAAGAAGGAAAGAAATCATAATGATCAGATCAGAAATAAATGAAAAAGAAATGAAGGAAACGATAGCTAAGATCAGTAAAACTAAAGGCTGGTTCTTTGAGAAGATAAACAAAACTGATAAACCACTAGCCAGACTCATCAAGAAAAGAAGGGAGAAGACCCAAATCAACAGAATTAGAAATGAAAAAGAAGTAACAACTGACACTGCAGAAATGCAAAGGATCATGAGAGATTACTACAAGCAACTCTATGCCAATAAAATGGACAACCTGGAAGAAATGGACAAATTCTTAGAAATGCACAACCTTCTGAGACTGAACCAGGAACAAACAGAAAATATAAACAGACCAATCACAAGCACTGAAACTGAAACTGTGATTAAAAAGCTTCCAACAAACAAAAGCCCAGGACCAGATGGCTTCACAGGTGAATTCTATTCAACATTTAGAGAAGAGCTAACACCTATCCCTCTCAAACTCTTCCAAAATATAGCAGAGGGAGGAACACTCCCAAACTCATTCTACGAGGCCACCATCACCCTGATACTAAAACCAGACAAAGATGTCACAAAAATAGCAAACTACAGGCCAATATCACTGATGAACATAGATGCAAAAATCCTCAACAGAATACTAGCAAACAGAATCCAACAGCACATTAAAAGGATCATACACTGTGATCAAGTGGCGTTTATCCCAGGAATGCAAGGATTCTTCAATATATGCAAATCAATCAATGTGATACACCATATTACCAACTGAAGGATAAAAACCATACGATAATTTCAGTAGATGCAGAAAAAGCTTTTGACAAAAGTCAACACCCGTTTATGATAAAAAAAAAAAAAAAAACTCTCTAGAAAGTAGGCATAGAGGGAACTCACCTCAACATAATAAAGGCCATAGATGACAAACCCACAGCCAACATCATTCTCAATGGTGAAAAACTGAAACCATTTCCTCTAAAATCAAGAACAAGACAAGGTTGCCCACTCTCACCCCTATTATTCAACATAGTTTTGGAAGTTTTAGCCACAGCAATCAGAGAGGAAAAAGAAATAAAAGGAATCCAAATCAGAGAAGAAGAAGTAAAACTGTCACTGTTTGCAGGAGACATGATACTATACATAGAGACTCCTAAAGATGCTACCAGAAAACTACTAGAGCTAATCAATGAATTAGGTAAAGTAGCAGGAT